CCACCTTGGCCTCTCACACTGAGATGCCTTCAGCCAGGGTCAAGAGGAAAGAACCCTGAGTTCAGGCTCCAGTTTAGAACCACCCATGCTGTGCAGTCTTGGTCAAGTCAATTCCCCTCTCTGAGCCTCCAGTTCTTCATTGATCAGGTGGGGAGAATTCCCACTCTACCAGATGGCTCTGGGGGAATGAATAAGACAAGGAAGCCAGTGATGTTCCACGCAGGTAGCAAATCATGCTCTGTCCTGATGTGGGTGGGGGCTGTGTCTATCTAGCAAAGAGACACAGGAACCCTTCTCAGCAGGGGCCCCTCCTGGGTAACCAACCACTCAGAGGGGCCAAGTCACAGTCCAAGTAGGCAGGGAAGGCTCTGGGAAGGGGCGGTCATCAGGTCTGGAGAGAAGCAGGAAGAATCCAGCTTGGGAGGAAAAGGGAGAACTGGAAAAGTCAACGTAGAAAAAAAGTACAAGTACAAGAAAAAAAGTACAAGCTCAAGTACAGAGCAGGGTACAAGTAAGCCTGTGCTTCTGGGACTGTCTCACTCTGGGTGCTTTCAGAATTTCTTTCACTGGTTCTGATAGTCCATCCAATTCCAAGAGTCTCTGGCTCTAAGTGTTTCTTCAAGTCTGTTACTCAGTGCTTCTGATAGCCTTCCACAGGAGGCTGGGCTCTCAGAGCAATGTAATCACAGATCACTGTCCCTGGAGCCACAGAGTCTCAGCAAACACTTGCCAGTGTCCCCATGTGCCCAACCACAGAGAGATCCTGCAGACCCAGACTCAGATCAGACTTGGTGAGGAGCTCCAGTCTGGACGGGGAGAAAGACACAGATGTGGACTAAGTCCACTTGGGTGACTAAGCCATGACCAAGGGAAGCCCAGGAGCCATGGAGCTAACCAGCCTGTGGGGGCTGCCCAGAGGAGGGGTCATTTGAGCTGGGACCCAATAGAAGATGAGTTTGACAGGTGTACAACAAGAGGAGGAGGGCACTGAAGGCCAAAGGAAGAGCCTGCGCGACTCAGGGGTGTGCTAGCGCGGCCAGGAGGTCGTATGAGGCCAGAATGGTGGGGTGGATGGCACAGCATGTGCGTGGGTCCGGGGGACTCACATGAAAAGGCTTGAATACCAGGTTGAGGAGCTGGGCCTCGATCCTGAGAACAATGGAGAGCCATGGCAGGGCTTAAGTAGGGAAGGACACTGAGTGACCTTGAGAGGAGAGGAGTAGGAGGGGCCTACACATGTAACAGTCTAGTGAGAGACGCAGGTTTCTTGGCCCTGGATTCTCTGAGAGATGGGGAGCATCCTTGGCGGCCCATAGCACAGCCAGAGCAAGACTCTTCCTCCCACAGCTGGGGCTGGGCAAACTGGGCACTCACCAAGAAACCAGAGCAACACCAGGCGCCTTCCCCCAAGGGAGGGAGAGTATAGAGGGTCATGTGGGCCCCAAGAAGCTTGAAAGAGGTCCTCCTCCCATGCTCCAGGGCCCAAGAGTTATCACTGTCACCGTCAACACAGTGCCAGGGTGACATGGTAGAGGGCCAAGGAGGAAGCAGGAGCCCAGGAGGGCCCAGGCTGCCCACCTTCCCATCAGGGACTCTAGCTACTCACCCCGGACTGGAAATACTCAGGCCTAGGAGATGCCATAACAGGGAAGTAGAGGAAGTCCTCTGCTCAAGTGCCCGCTGTAGCTCTCCATGGAGCAAGGCCCTTGTCTCCCCTCCGTATTCTCACTTCCACATGGCCCTTCATCTCCCAAACGCTCCTCGGCACCTGATCTGTGTCCAGCCTGGGCTCCGTGATGCGGATAGACAGACAGCAGGCTGGCCTCGTCCTGCAGCTGATCTTGGGGGTTAGCAGATGTCAGGGAAGGCCCCACGGCCAGCCTCGCCCCACCAGGACCCGATGGCTGGGAAAGGCCAGGACTGAGGACCCAAAGGCAGCCAAGAGGTAGGTGCGGACAAAAGAGTACAGCAGCCGGGCCCACAGAGGACAGTTCAGGGAGAGGATTTCACCAGGAAAGCCTCCACCTTTTCTCACTGGATCAGCTGGGCTTCCCTGGTCCTGTGACCGGCATGGTCCATGAGGCCACAAGCAAGACCTCAAGTCATGTGTTCAGGGCAAGATTCAAACTCCCTTCAGACTGAAACCCAGAGGAGCAGGCCTTCCTCCTCCAGGAGCTCCAGAAGCTTTTGTCTTGAGTGGGGAGAAGTAAGTTGGGTCAGGGAGCCAGAAGCTCTAGCTCCACCTTGGCTCTGTGATCTTGGGGAGGAAACTCTGAATCTCTCTTTGCTCGTCTGCAAAATGGGGTATTATAGTAATTCCTCCCTCATAGGGTTGGTAGAGAGTATAACGAGGAACTTTTATAAATATTTCCTAGTAAGCTGTTTCTGCAGAGGGGGGTACAGGGGGAGGAAGGCAGTCAGTAGTTGAAATTCTGGTAATGGGGCGCCTGGATGGCTCAGTGGGTTAAAGCCTCTGCCTTCAGCTTGGGTCATGGTCTCAGGGTCCTGGGATTGAGGCCCGCATTGGGCTCTCTGCTTGGTAGGGAGCCTGCTTCCTCCTCTCTCTCTGACTGCCTCTCTGCCTACTTGTGATCTCTCTCTGTCAAATAAACAAAATCTTCAAAAAATAATAAAACTGTAAAAAAAATTCTGATAACTAGCACAACCCCTTGTTACTGTACCCACGTTCTAGTAACTTCAAAATGCACTTAAGTCTCTGAGTATCACACTTCTCCCTGTGCACTGCCCTCCACCGCTTACAACACCCTTTCCTGACCACTGTCTGAAGAACCATCATAGCAACCTTGCATTTGAGGCAAGGATCACCGCGTTCGATTTACAGATGGCAAAACTGACACCTAGAGGGGCACCATGGCCTAAGGGCCACAGCCAGAAAAGAAGCCAAATCAAAGCATTTAACTGGTCCTTAGAGGCTCCAGGAGCCTCAGAGCCCTGTGCATCCCCGAGAAGAGCAGCAGAGGGAGGGAGGAGTCATACCCTCACTCTGCAGCCCAAGCCCGCCAAACATTTATGAGGGTCGCCCACTGTGATCTTCCAACTTCTCTGGCCGGACCCCAGGACAGCCCAAGGCCGGAAGAAGAGGAGGCTTACAATTCTGGCCCCTGGTCTCCCTGAGCACATGCTCTTGCTAGGACCTTACCCGTGCTGGCCCCCTTTAAAAGGCTGGCAGGGCAGATACTACCCAAGGTCAGCCAGCAAGTTGGGGGAAGAGCTGGGATGGGATCAGTTGCAGGTCCCACTGGGGGAGGGAGAGTCCTAAGTATCCCCAAATTCCTCAGCAGGAGCATCTAAGGCCTGAGGGAAGTGTTTGGCTGAGGGGTCAAGGGCTCAGAGCATAAATAATGCCTGGGTGGTTCTGATGTTTCTATCTGACCTCCTTGTACAGCACTACTCAATCCATTCTTCACTCCGCAGCTGGAAAGATCTCTCTGAAATCCTGCTTTGACCATGAATCTTCCTTGTCCACAAACTTTTTATGGCTCCCTATGGCCTTCAAGATGAAATTGAAGTTTTCAGCTTGCACACTCTGGGTCCTGTAGTGTCCCAGAACACACTGTTCTGACAACCCACGCCACCTACCTCCATGAATGGATTCTCTACCTCTTCTTTGTGATGACCCGGAGCTCCACTGCAGGCACACCTTCACTGGGAAAGCGCAGGCAGGGGGGCGGGTGACGGGGGGGGGGGGGGGGGGGGACGGGGGGCAGGGGACAGGGGCGGAGACTGCTCTGGCAGTTCAGCCCAGCACTGTGCAGGGCGCTGGCAGAAAAAGAAATGCCCTCCAGGGGGCCCCAGACCTCTGGGGAGGGAAGGAGGAGCCAGAGACTGTAACAGCCCAAGGTGGAACCAGGGCTGTCAGCACTGGGACTGGCAATAGTCAGAAAAGGCTCCAACCCAACTGTGGGATCAAGGAAAGAAAGCTTCCCCAGTGAGGGGACATCTGAGCTGGGCCCCAAGGCTGGGTAATTCTCCAACCTAGGAAGATGAGGCTAGGAGGGCATTTCAGGCAGTGCTACACGCAATCACTAGAGCATGATGGGGCAGGGAGGAGAAGGGGCTGGAGAGATTGGCAAGGAGCAGTTCTTGGAGGCCTTGAGTCCCAGCTTTTGGGGTTCAGGCTGGGTCTTGTTAGCCCAGGAAAGAGAATAGTGGAGATAAGGGTTTCAGAAAGTTCCCTCCAGGGACTGACCCCACTCAGATCCCCAAGCAGTGAGCCTACCCAGGATGATACCGCTACCTCAACATGACCCACACACCAGCAACTCAATGGCCCTCAAGTTCCATAGTATTATTAATCCCCTTTCACAGATGAGGCCACTGAGGCTCAGAAAAGGTCACAGGGCGGCCAAGCAGGACTGGAATATAGGTCTGAATCTCCAAAGAGCTTTTGTGGGCCCTGTCTGCTTCAAGACACCAACCACTCCCACACACAGATAACTGAGACTTCACCAGGGCCTCACCCTAGCCCTCAAAAGCTCCCCATTATTCCAGCCTCAAGCCCCAAACAAACCAGGCACCTCAGGCTGCAGGCCCAGGGTAATCGAGGATGCCATGCATAAAGGAACAGCAGCCACCACCCCCACGGACCCCTAACTGGCAGTTTTAATCCACAGCTGGGCCTGGCCCTTGGGTCTGGCTCCTGGGGAAAGGGGGGCGGGCGGCAACCTGCCACAGACAATTGGGAAGAGAAGCTAGGGCACTGCCTTTCTTCAATCTGACCCTTCCGGATTAGAAGTCCCCCAAGAGCGGCTTAACTGTCCTTCCAGGCCACTGCCCCAGCCCCCGTGCCCACCCTCACCTCCAGTTTTACAAGGCCCCAGTGGGATGGAGGCCCACAGTGGCCCCCGGGATGCGGGGGCGCAACGGGCCTCCAGGGGCTCGCGGGTGTTGCCCGCGCCTCGGGGCGCTCACACCAGAGCACACACACAAACAAGTCCCACAGGTTCAGCTACTCGACCCGCCGGGGCGCACGCACTCACCCGCTGATACTCAGACGTTCCCAAAGACGCCGATACACTCTCGCCGGGGATTCGGATCATACTCCCGGAGGTGCACGCGCGGGTGGAGACAGAGTCCGACTGCGGCCCCACCGGAGCCCTAGCACCGTGCGGAGCCCAGCGCCCCTCGGACCGCCATGCGCAGCGCCCAGGGGCGCAGCCGCCGCGTCCCGGGCGCGCCTGCCGGCCTCTCCCCTCCTCCGATCCCTCCAGGCGGCCCCGCCGGCTGGTCGGCGGGGGCGCTCGGCAGCCCGCAGCGCTCCGGACGCAACTCCGGTGCCTGCGCTCGCGTCCCGCCGCCGCCACCGGGCGCCACGTGCCTCGAGCCCCGCCCGCCCCGCCCAGCTCCCTGCCCAGGCCGGCTGAGGCCGGGGCGGGGCAGACTTTGGACGGACCCTGGCACCGCCCCTCCCGCCGGGACCAACACCACCGTGCCACGCGCGCGGGGACGCCGGGCTGATAGGCGTGTAGCGGGCTGGGGTCTGTGGCGACCGACCTAGCGCCCGGCGGGACGGAGGCCCCCCCGCCTTCCTCACGCAAGATGTGGGCAGGTGTTCAGAGACATGAAATTTGCGAAGTTTGTCGGGCACCTGTGTGGCTCCTGTCCCGCTGTCCACCGGGAGACCTTTCAGCGAACCCGCGCCCTCTCCAGCCAGGTACCTGCTCCCAGCACCACGCTGAGAACCTGCCTCCCTTGCTTGTGACTCGGAGGCGGGGGGGAGGGTGTCCCCATTGCCTAGAGAGGACATACGTTCAGGGTCCTGCGTCTCTCCAGTTCCAGAGAGAAAGGAGCTACTGGGAGAGTCTCACCTATGCTCCCTTTACTGAGCCTGATAGACTCTAGAAATTTCCTGAACATCTGGCTTTTTCATCTCTCCTCTTGAGCTGCTTCCTTTGAGCTGCCTTCTTAGACTCCACACAGCACTCCCCTCTCTGCTTTCAACTCCACTCTGATGGCCTTCTTTGGTCAGGGACCCTATGTCTGTTCCTTTTCTAGACTATGAGTGCCAGGAGGAGGAAGGCTTACAGCTGGAGCCAGCGTTCCCAGGAGTGGCTTAATACTTGTCTAACATTGAATGGATGAATGAATGAGTGAATGCCCCCTTCTCTCATTCTGGTCTAGGTGTCAGGAGTATTGCTTTAGCACTGAACTCAGGGAGGTCTTGACCCCTAGTTCCAGTCCCTCCCCAGGCCTCTTTTCTTGTGACATAGAGGCAATCACAACGTTCATCCATTTGAGGCTTTGGATAGTGGGTGTCTGAAAAGTGCAGAGTGGAGGAGGCATCTTTCTGTGGCCAAGGAGCTTGCCCAGGGCCTTGGCCTCCTTGGGTCCATCAGCTGATCGAGGCCTGGCTGCTGGCCCCAGGAGGGGCCCTGAATGGGTCCAAGAAGGATACTGGCTGCAGTCTTGCCAGGAGCGGGAGCAGAGCAGACACACAGCCCTGTATAGCGGAGCCGCCTCTTCAGTCCCCCGGGGACCTCCGCCTGGAAGACACAAAGGCCTCTTGTCCAGCTTTCTCTACCTATTGTCCAAGTCGGTCCATGCAGCTTCTAGGGGCTGGGAATCCTATGCCTCCCACTTACGGAGCCCAGGCCTTGGGGTCCCAATGTGGGGAAGTTCCCTGGTCACTGGAGGCTCCAGTCAACACCCTCCTCCTCTCTCTCCCAAGCCTTCAGACCTCTACTACTACTAAGCTCAAGAGAAAAAATTCCTTTGATACCAAGAAGAGGACCCAGAGCTCTGCCTCAGTCTCCAGAGTGGGCAGCCCAGAGTCCTGTTCCTGCTCTAGTCCAACTCCCTCACTTGACAAAGAAACTGCATTCCTGAGACACCCAGAGGCGGAGCTCCCACAAGTGACTTAGAAAGGCCTGAGAAACAGAAGAAAGGGACATGTCCTTGAACCCTACACCCTTGGAGTCTTGCCTCACCTCTCCTATGACTCTGAGCTTCACTTTCTTCTTCTGCAAAATGGTAATAGTCACTTTCTCACTGGCCTGAAGGGTTTTTTTTGTCTTGTTTTTGTTTTTTTAGGGTTTTGCCCATCCTCCTGAGCTGCCCCTATTTGAGGGGTCAGTATCCCCTCTAAGGAGGGGCTGGAAATTTGGGTCTCTTAACATGTTCCTCTCCCATTCTCATCACTGGGCTTGAGAGATCAAGTCCAGCAGGTTCCAGATCCCTCAGCTGAGTCCTCCCTCTGCTTGGTTTGGCTTAGGACCCCCCACCCCCCGCCCCATCCATTGCCACCTAAGTGCCTTTATTTTTATCTTCGTACTTATTTACATTTCCTGGCAATCCTTTGTCGAGAAAATATGGAAGTTTCTGTGGCTGAAAGATTTTAGACCCTTTGACCGAGCCAGGAAATTGAGGCTCAATGAGTCCCACAACAAGCCCCACACAAGGCCCTCTCTGGACGGTCAGAGGGGCCTCCACGGAGCCTCCCTAGAACCAAGCAGCCCAGGCAGACTGGTGGTAAAGACCCAGGCATGTAATGGTCCCCAAGAGGATGGTTAATGGAGCCAAGGGAGGGAGACGGTTGCGGGGTTCCATTAGCAGCAGCAGGTCAGGATGGGGAAGGGTGAGCCCGAGAGCACTTCTCCCTGTGCATTAGGAGTCTTCCTGTCTCTCCGACCCTGAGGAGGCTCTTGGCGTTCTGATGCCTTCTCATCTTCCATCTAGTTCTCTCGTCTCCCCGGAGAAAACTTTCTGCTCTGAGAATCGGTGCTGGGAATGAAGGCCCCTGGCCTTGCACAGCGGAGATACTTCTTCCAAGCCCTCTTTCCCAGGCCCAGGTGGGGCATCTGTCGCCCCTCCCAGCCGTCTGTGGCTCCACCGCCTTCTGGAGAAAGCCCGCCTCTGCACCCTGCCAGCAAGGCCCTCCTGGTACCTCCCTTTGTCACACCGGTTACCACTCCCTCATCTCCCCCCACCAGTGGGCGTCTCTTTGAAGGCAGAGCCGGGGTCTTCCTATTCATGGTTAAATGCCCAACACCTAGCACTGTCTCTGTCACTGGTCACCCTTCGTGAATATTTGTTATATGAGGGAGTAGGCACTTGATGTAGTGATCACCTTTGTGCTGGTCCTCATGTTCAAGATTCTCCTTTAATCTTCCCCAGAGGGGCACTTGGGTGGCTCAGTGGGTTAACGCCTCTGTCTTCGGCTCGGGTTGTGATCCCAGGGTCCTGGGATCGAGCCCCGTGTCAGGCTCTCTGCTCGGTGGGGAGTCTGCTTCCTCCTCTTTCTCTCTCTCTGCCTGCCTCTCTGCCTACTTGTGATCTCTGTCTGTCAAATAAATAAATAAAATCTTAAAAAAAAAGAATCTTCCCCAGAGCCCTGTGAGGTAGGTGTTATCATGACTATTTTACAAACAGGGAAACTGAGGCTCAGAAAGGGGAAGTGAATGTCCAAAGTCACAGTGAGTCCGAGGTGGGTCCCCCGACCCTGTAACTACCAGGGAAGGAAGGTCCTGCTGAATTGCTGGAGTGATGGTTGAGCTGTGGGGTTGGTACCCACACGGTGGCTCTGGTTACATAGGGCTGGGGCCGAACCGCTGCATCAGCCCGACCATCCCTGCCTCCCTCCCTCCTTCCCTTGCCAGCGGGCTGGGAACCTTGCTCCTCAGGTTTCCCAGGCAGGGCTCAGATCCCTGACACCAAATGCAAACTAGAAGCTCTGGCTCTTGGCATGCCAGGATGCAGGCACCCAGGGGAGGCAGCCCAGGAGGCAGGAAGCCTCGTCCAGACCTGGGCAAGCCTCCCCATAGTCTCCCTGTAAGTAGGACCAGCTACATAATTTGTGGGACCCAGGAAAAAAGAAGATGCCCTTGTACAAAAACTAGGTAAGAATTTCAAGATGGGACAGCAAAGCAGTAAATCAGTGCAGGGTCCTTCAAAGCACAGGGCGCTGTGTAACCATCCAGGTCACAAACTTCTGAAGTCAGCCCTGTCCTCAGGCCTTGGTGTCTTTGTTTGTCAAGTGGGAGAATGACAGCCACCTGCCCAGGCAGTAGACAGGATGAGGTTGGAGGTATAGGTAGGAGGTTCAGAGAAGAGCATGGACGTTGGGCAGGGGTCCCCGTGGCCATCATTTGTGGTTTAGGTCTCAGAATTGAGGAGCAGATCAGTTCTTGCCAGGAGTTTGATTCCTCACACAGAGTCTTTTCAGGGAATCAAAAGTAAGGCTCAGAGAAAGAAGACACTTGCTCAAGGTCATATAGAGGTTCAGTGGCAGAAGCCAAGATTAGAGCCCTCTCGATCTTTCTGCAAAACTGGTGCTTTCTGTGACACAGGAGAGAGAGAGAAGGAAAGAGAGGGGCAGGAGGGAGGTGGTGGTGGGGGCCACCCAGGACAAAGAGGGCCACTGTGCAGACACAAAGGCCTGACCACAGAGGCCCCTGTGTGGGCTGGGCCAAAGGGGTGGGTAGAAAAGCCCCACAATGACTGAGGGAGGTGCCAGGAGCCGTCTCCTAGACCCTCCCTGGTTGTGATGGGGATGGGGGTGGCACACAGGAGCCAGGAAATGGATGGAGGAAGAGAAACAGATAGGGCTGAGCCCTTCCCCCCAGCCCCTGCCTCCAGGGCTAGAACCCCACACCCTACCTCTCCCTGGCTCCCCTCCTGGACAGCTTGCCAGCTTAGAGTCCCCCCTCATCTACCCACTACCCCATTTTCCCCCACCTCAATGAGGGTGGGGCTCAGGCAGCTAGACACCTGACAGTCCCAACTTCACAGTCTTGCTCAGAAACTGCGGGCTAATTTCCATCACCCACAGGAGGTCGAGGCATAACCTCCTCCGTGTATCATTCAAGGCCCTTTGTGACCTGTCCCAATGACCTCTTCACACTCCCCGGTCCCTACTCCCCATTAGGCCTCCACAGCCCAGTCATGTGGGAAGTCCCAGATTTCTTCAAAGCACTTGGTGCTTACACACACACACACACACACACACACACACACACACCTCTGCATTTGTTCATGCTTTTCCTTCTTCCTGGAGTGTTTTTTTCCGTGACCTTTGCTGGCTGATCCCTTTCTTCCTCATGAGCCAGCTCAAATGCCCCCTCAACTAGGCAGCTTTCTTCACCCCCCACAGTGGAACTTAACCTTCACTCTGCCAAGAATGTTGGATTTACCCATTCCCTTGCTTATCCCTCTCTGGCTTGAGCCATAGTTTAATCCCACAAAGCCTGGAAGAGGGGGCCTTTGAGCTGGGCC